CACCCCTGCAGCGCTGCCGGCAGTTTTCCACGTGACTAGGCTGCCTGAACTTGTCAGCCCCCGCGTTTAACCACACCAGCCAGGATCTGAAAAAGCAAAAGATCCTGCAAAAAAGGAGGCAGAGCCCTGTTCGCCTCTGCGGCCCAGGGGCACAAGTCGGGGAAGAGAGGGAGCCCTGTGTGCATGCCCCCAGCCTGGAGAGCCAGCTGGTCCCCTCAGCCCCCCAGGGGCACCTGGCTGCCAGCAAGGTCTGGCTCCGCGGCGTCTCCGTGCCGCACAGGCAGCAGCTCCGAGGGCCGTTGCTGCCAAGGCTCCGCAGGGCCACGTGGCAGCAGGTAGAGGTCCCCGAGACGAGCCTGTCACAGGGGCCGCACGGCCTGCGGGGCTGCGGGAGCCCAGTGCCCGCTCTGCCGGAGTCCCCCGCTCACTGCCCCCCTGGCTTTGGGGTCTGGAGGAGGAAGGGCCGAACTCTTCCCTCCTGCTGCTATCCGGCAGCAAAGGGTGGAGGGTAGCTGCTGCCTCTCCCTGCCCGCACAACGCTGTTTTGGGAGGGAGAGGTTGGCAGGGCAGGTGGGGTGCTGGGATGCACTCGCCTGGGTTCTCGTGTTAGCTCGTGCTGAAAAATCAGAGCTCCGTCCAAAGTACGCACCCGGGCCGCGCCGCAGCTCACGCGAGCACAGTGCACGCGTGTGGGTTTTGCGCGCGCGTCCCTGGGCCGGCTGCAGGGTCTCTGCCGGAGCTGGCACCGCCTGGCACCCGGGCATCGTCGGGAGTCCTGCCTGGAAAGGGAGATACCCCCCGCCCTGTGCCCCAACGGCGCCGCGTGGTAGGGAGCGTCGTGACGAAGCCCGGCTTCTCCGAACCGCCGTCCCCGTCCCCCCGTACTTACGGGGCTCGTGGATGCCCGGGTAGTCGCTGAACTCCAGCACGTAGAGGTGTCGGCCCTCGACGCTGCGGCCGATGCTGTAGATGCGGGTGACGTAGGGGCACTGGCTCTGCACGCGGAACAGGGCCTGCACCATCTCCTCGTAGCGATGGTGGAGAAAGCTGAGGGCGGCCGCCCCCTCGAGCAGGAGCAGGGCTCCCACGAGGGACCGCAGCCACCGAGCCATCCTCCCGCGGCGCCGGGCGCCCAGACCAGCTCCGAGCCCCCGTCTCCCTCCCCGCCGGGAGCTTAAAGTGCAAACTCCAACCAGCTCTTTCCAGTTTCCGAGTGCCAGCCCCTTGCACCTGCGGGCGGGGGGCGGCGGGGGCGGCG